AACGCGAGGTAGGGATGTCTAGTGCATCCGGGTCTCCCTCAGGGCACAGCAGCATGGAAGCGAGATGAGGTACAGCAGCCGCGAGGCACTCGAGCTCTTACTGCCTGTCCTCAAGGACGTTACAGCCAAGGTCAACCTCACCCCTGACGGACGGAGGACAGTCAGACTCAGTAACAAGACTCGCAAAGTAGTCAAGACGACAGGTAGCAGCAAAGTCAACGAGCTCAGTGACTTAGGCAGATGCAGCAGTAGACTAAAGGAAGGGTCAGTGACAATTGTGGCCAGGACACGTGTGACAGTGGGACTAGCAGCACGAGCAAGGTCAGATACAGGGTCACGAACGTCAAGAAGAGAGGACGTCGGCCGAGATGGCAGGGCAACACGCTGTGGAGCAGAGGAAGGACGAAGTGCCATAGTGTGCGTGCCGGGGACTGGTGGAGGACGAACACGACGAGCATGACTAGCAGTGCGAACAGGCGAGACAGGACGAGATTCAGGCTCAGTGTAAGGAGAAGGAGCAGGCAGAGGGGAGTGAGGCTGTAACGGCGGCTGTGACTGGTCAGGCGGAGGACACAGTTGAGGTGGAGTAATGCCAGTGGAAGACGGAAGACTAAGAACCTGGCGAAGCGCCGAGTCAGGTGGTGGTAGTGACGACTGCGGATGCGGCAAAAAATCCGGTCGCTGCTGCACAGCACCCACAGCACCAGAGTCTCCAGCTCCAGTACCTCCAGCTCCAGTACCGCCAGTACCTTCAACACCTCCAGCTCCAGCACCTCCAGCACCAACAGCTCCAGCACCTCCAGCTCCAGTACATCCACCACCTCCAGCACCAGTACCTCCAGCTCCAGCGCCTCCAGTACATACAGCTCCAACACCGCCAGCACCTCCAGCTCCAGCACCTCCAGTGCCTCGACGAGATGCAGGCAGGACGAGATGCACGCTCTCGACGCCCGGTCAGGGGGTCTGTCAACTCAATGTAAGGAGAAGGAGCAGGCAGTTGGTAGTCAGGCGGTAACTGTGTCTGAGACGGGTCAGTCGGTGGACACAGTAGAGGAGGAGTAGTACCAGTGGAAGACGGAAGACTGAGAACCTGGCGAAGCGCCCAGCCAGGTGGTGGCAGCGACGACTGTGGTTGGTGCCATAAAAACGGTCGCTGATGCAATGGCTGCGCAGCACCCCCAGCACTAGAACCTTCAGTACCTCCAGCTCCAGTACCTCCAGCTCCAGTACCTCCAGCTCCAGTACATCCAGCTCCAGTACCCCCAGCACCAGCACCTCCAGCTCCAGTACCTCCAGCTCCAGTACCTCCAACTCCAGTACCTCTAGCTCCAGTGCCTCCAGCTCCAGTGCCTCCAGCAGCAGTATCTCCAGCACCAGCACGTCCAGTACCTCCAAGTCCAGTACCTCCAGCTCCAGTACCTCCAGCACCAGCACCTCCAGCTCCAGTGCCTCCAGCGGCAGCACCTCCAACTCCTCCAACTCCAGTGCCGCCAGACTCGGACTTAGAAAGTGGCAGCGGCGACTGGTGCTGCTCCCAGTACTGGGGGCGCTGCGGCAGAGGCTGCAGTGCACCACAATAACTCCAGCAGGAGCACCCCTGACTACACCACCACTAGGACTCTCAGCACGCCCAGAACCAGCACCTCCACAGCTAGCACCCCGAGGCTCAGCACCCCCAGAACCAGCACCTCTAGAGTCAGCACCCCCAGGCTCAGCACCCCCAGAACCAGCACCTCCAAAGTCAGCACCCCCAGAACCAGTACCCCCAAATCCCACACCTCCAGTGACAAGCTGCAGAGGCGGCGAAGATGGCCGAGGCGGAAAACCGGGAGGGGTCTCCAAGCGCGGTAAGCGGCGAGAGACCGCTGTGTCGTCAGCAACAAGGTCACCCCCCTCAGCCGGGCTAGAGGTGTCTGAGGAGACCTCCAAAGGCTCAACCAAAAGGGGTGGGTCGACCTAAGACACATCTAAGGGAGCAGGACGCGAGGGGGGGTGGGGGTCTACCGGGGGGTGACCTGGAAACAGGAAGAGGGGTGGTGGGGGGACATGAGAAGACGCGTGGGGGAAGAGACGGTAGTAGCAGACCGACTCGTCAAAGGTGACGTCGCGGGAGGGCACGTGGCTGGGTGGTAAAACTGCCAGTCTAGCGCGTCGGTCGGAGAGCCAAGGAAGACGCAGCGAATAGTGCGAGAAGAGAGCTTGCCCGCGGTAGTATTGCGGACAAGGGCAAGCGAACCCCAAACCCGAAATGCGACGCATCACTAACCTCCCCCGTCCAACGCAGTATAGGCGAGGTCTTCGGCTGGGAGACACGGGGCCAGAGGTTGAGCTGGTGCGCGGCGTATCGGACCGCAAACGACCACAGAAAATGGGGCGCAGCCGCATGGATCATGGAGGTGCGAGCAACCTCCATGCTCAAGCCAATGCGGCGCTCAGCGATCCCATTCTGCTGTGGAGAGGCCGGAAGCATGAACGACTGGGTGATGCTCTCCTCACGACAAAAGTCCTCGAGGAGACCAGAGGAAAACTCACCTCCACTGTAAGAGTGCAGCTGCAGCACCGAGAGGTCTTGCTGGAAGCGTGCTCTCAGCTGGGGACAAACAGCGCGGATCCAGTGGATCAAAACACTATGGACATCGTCCTTGCGCTGCAAGGGAAAGACAGTGGTGTAGCGCGTGTAGTCGTCGATGACCAGCAGGAAGTAGCGCTCCCGGCGCGCCCCACCTCTCAAAGTATCTACCTAAGGCATTTTGCTATTAGGATAATCTCATAGTTAACCAGTAGTTAAGTACATGCTACTTCGGGTAGTAAGGTCCAAAGCGCTTGAAGGTGTTCGTAGGTCTCAGTTTCGCTTGCGTAGCAAGCGGTGTCTTTACGAACCGTGGTGGCGGTATCCTCTTGTGGGTCCGTAAGATTGCGTAACGTAAGATTTTGGCTTGCCTACAAAGAAAATTGGACTTTTTTTGTTTTGGTCTATGATGGTGTTTTTATTCATTTTCACCATTGGTTTTATATACGAATGGAAAAAAGGTGCTCTAGACTGGGAATAATAATCCCGCGGAATGTCTCGCTTGCATAATATTATTTCGCACTTTTCTACGAGGTATCGACACGTCCATGTGCAGAGGAGCAGTGGTCAGAGGCAACGAGGAGGAGTGAGCTGCCGCCCCTCGACGCACGGAGTGCAGGGCGGCGCAAGCGACGGCGGGAGCGGGGGCAGGGACCTCGGGAGGCTGGAGACAAGGAGACGTGAGTGCATGCCACGCAGACGCTGCATGGAGGGGTGACCAAGACAGTGGTGCCAGAGGAGAGACGGGTGCGTGAGTAACCGACACGAGCAAGATGCAACAACCTGACCGGACGCAGCTATATGTGCACGCTCAGTGTGCAGTGTGTACAGGCCAGACCTAGGCCTCCGAGTGAACTTGGCAAGGTGGTCGCCAGTCACTGTGCCCGTAGAGATCACCACGAGCTCGCCCCCAGAAGTAGTGGTAGTGACCAACATATCCTGAAGGACAGAGGTACTCACCAAGTTCGTAGCGAACGAGGGGAGGTGGAGACCTATGAGGGAGCCAGAAGGGGCTGTCTGACATGGGAGAACAATGAAGCCGCGTGCAACGACTCGACCATAGGAGGGGTCGGCCAGGGTGATAGGGACAAGTGCTGTGAGCGGTGTGATAGTGGTGCAGTCGCGGAAGAAGCAGCGAGACGCGCCTGATTCCAGCGTGAAGGTGTGCAAAGCCTCCGCAGAAACTGCACCTGAGCTAGCGGACTCACAAGCACATACACTCGCCTCCTCGCCACAGGCTAGCAACGGCAGCTGCTGCTGCTGTTGCTGCTGCCCACCCCCAGAACCTCCACCCCCACACGCAAGCGGCGACGGGTCGGGGAGGAGAAACGGTAGCGCAAGACGGCCTAGGGTGGCAGGAGAGAGGGAGGAGTAGTGCCTAACCACAGCGTCGTAGAATGTCTGGGCCAACGTCACCTGGCAAAAGTGGGTCCTCTGGTCGAGCGACAGGTGAGCGCGGAGAGCAAGTTGGGCGACAGTGTCGCATGCCGTCCACCGTATGCAGGCACTGCGGTCCGCCTGGTACCGCTGCTGCACTTCCTACCCAGCGTTAGCAGCAGGCTCAGGTGGAGTTGTGGGGGCCTGAAGGGACCCCGACGTGTGCTTGAATAGGGAGACGCCATCCCTAATACGTGCTCGAGATACAAGTGCAGGCGTGCTAGCCATGGCTCAAACTCGAGAGGGCGCCCGTCTGCGTCAACTCTAGGACAGTGATAGTGGCCATGACAGGAATTAGCGTCGGTACTAGGAAGTAGTTGCAGATCTGGGCACCGGCGGGAGTTCGGGGCGCAGTGGGAGAACGAACAGCACGGCAGTAGGTGAGTGGCGCAGCGCGGCAGTAGTCAATGCGGCGCGGCGCGGCTCGACAGCAGCGCGGTGCGGCGGGGCTCGACAGCAGCGCGGCGCGGCGTGGCAGTGCGGGCGGCAGCAAGGCAGCGCACAGCGGCAGGGCAGCGCGCGGCGGCAGGGAAGCGCGCGGCGGCAGGGCAGCGCGCGGCGGCAGGGCAGCGCGCGCACAGCTAGGCAGCACGGCGCGCGACGCGCGGGGCAGCGGGGGCGCGCGACGCGTGGGGCAGCGGGGACGCGTGACGCGCGGGGCAGCGGGGGCGCGGGACGCGCGGGGCAGCGGGGGCGCGCGACGCGCAGGGCAGCGGGGGCGCGTGGCGCGCGGTGTTAAAATATACATTGTGTAGCATGCCAACACATGTGACTGTACACCAATTGTGGTGTACAGTTGGGTTGGGACTACACCCAACTTTGGGTGTAGTCTTGCACTTTGGGGTGCCAATCCACCCAACTGTGGTGGAGCCCCCAAATGCAACCCACTTGACTTATGGGTGCCTCACTTCCCACAAGTGAGGTCACCTCAAGCCAAGTGGGCCTAGGGTTGCCTCACTTCTACAAAGTGTGGGCAACCCAACCCACTTGACCTATGGTAGCCTCACTCCCCCAAGTGAGGTCAACCCAACCTATGGTCACCTTCACCCTTCTCTTCCAAGTCTCCCTTCCAACTATGTATGCTAGGTTTATCCCCTAATGAAGTTACTTGTTCAATTTACAATCTTAACATGGTATAGAGCGACTTGTTCCTAGGCCTTACCTCTCCCTCCCTCCAATTTGTTTTTCTCATGGGCCCACCCCACAGCCACAAATCCCCTCCTACGCGTGGCTCAACCTAGCATACCCTCGCCGCGACCTACACCGTCGCCGCCGTTCCCTCCCCCCGCCGAGATTGCGCCCTCCTCGCCTGCGGATCCCACCACCGCGAACGCATCACCGCTCCCCCCCTCCTCCCGTCGTCGAGACCCCCCGTCGCCGCCTCCCCCTCCCGCTGCCGCGACACCTCGTCGCCGCCTGCTCTTCCCACCGCCGCGACCTCTCGTTGCCGCCCCCTCCCCCCTTACCGCCGCCGCGCCTACTTCGGCGCCGCCTGCGCATCCCGCCGCCGCGCCTACTTCGGCGCCGCCTGCCCATCCCTCCGACGCGACGCCCCGTCGTCGCCTCCCCTTCCCGCCGCCGCGACGCTTCGTCGCCGCCTGCCCGTCCAGCCGCCGCGACTTCGCGTCGCCGCCTGCACGCCCCGCAGCCGCGACTTCGCGTCGCCGCCTGCACGCCCCCGCCGCCGCGACCTTCTGTCGCCGCCTGCACATCCCGCTGCCGCGACCTACCGTCGCCGCCTGCACGTCCCGCCGCCGCGACTTCGCGTCGCCGCTTGCACGCCCCACCCCCGCGACCTAAAGCCGCCGCCTGCACGTCCCGCCGCCGCGACCTCAAGTCGCGCCTCCGCATCCCGCCGCCGCGACCTGCTCGTCGCCCCCTGCGCGTCCCACCGCCGCGATTTCGCATCGTCGCCTCCCCCCGCCGCCGCTCCCGCAATTTCCGCTGCCACGACTGCACCGCCAGCCGCCCGCATCTCCGCCGCCGCGACCACACCGTCGTCGCCCGCGCTTCCCGCCGCGGCGCCTCCTTGTCCCCGCCTGCCCACACCGCCCCCTGCGGATTTTGCCACCGCGGCAGCCACTTCTACAGCAGCAGCCGCGACCGTGGCAGCAACAGCCCCACCCACAGCTGCAACTGCTTTCCTCCTCTCTCGACCCTCCCTCCCCCTTTCCTCCTCCTCTCTCTCCTCTCCCACGCAGCAGCAGCCGGGACAGCTCAGCAGGCGCACCAGCAGCAACGACAACAGCAGTGGCAGCATCGGCAGCAGCGGCGGCGGCGGCAGTAGTGGCAGCATCGGCAGCAGCGGCAGCAGCGGCAGCAGTGGCAGCATTGATAGCAGCGGCAGCACAGGCAGCAGCGGCAGCATCGGCAGCAGCGGCGGCACGGGCGGCACCGGCAGCAGCGGCAGCGGCAGCGGCAGTGGCAGCAGCAGCAGCAGCAGCCGGAGGAGTGCACATGCCTCAGCTGCAGCACCTTCCCCCCCCCCCCCCCCCCCCCCCCCCCCTCCCCCTCGGCCGCCGCGGGTCCACCCGCCGTCGCCCTCTCCCTTGACCGCCGCGGGTCCACCCGCCGCCGTCCCCCTCGTGGCCGCCGCGAGTCCACCCACCGTCGCCCCTCATGGCTACCAACCCTCCTGCCCCCCTCCCTCCTCCCGTCGACGCCTCTTCCGTCGACAAACTCCAGCTTGCCGCGGACCGCTCGGCTGTCAATTGGCACTCTTTCGTCGGGAGCATCCGCCGTATCCTCCAGGACGCCTTCGTCGGACCCTACTGCGTCCTCGACGTCCTCCTCCGCCGCCCGCACGCTCTCCAGCCCACGGCACCCATTCACCCCGGTGAACCCCCTCCTCCCTCCATTCCCCCTAGCCCTCCTCCTCCTGAACCTACCTTGGTGATCGCCGCTACTCCAGAACTCCAGGAGGCCGCTGATGCCACCTTCCTCCACGATCGCCGCGAGTACCTCATCCGCAAGGCGGAGCATGAAGTTGCGGTGCATCATCACGACTTTGCAATAGCGGAACGTGCCACTCGCCTGGCGTTACTTGATGAGTATAACACGGCCATGGCGGACTACCTCCCCAAGAGCATCGCATGGGCCACCGCTGACAACCGCGCCTGCACCATCCTCCTCGGCGCACTCCCCGACGCCCTCATGCGCCGTTTTCAAGCTCGCGAGATGCGCGCCTCCCTCATTTGGGCCGAGCTCCAGGCGATGTTTGAGCGTCGCGACATCAGCTCGGTCGGCGTCCTTTTCCAGGAGTACTTCTCCATCACCATCGCTACGTGTGACGGCGCAGTTGACTATGTGGGGCGCATGCAGGAGGTCGCTGATCGCCTTGCGGCACGCCAAGCTGCCCTCCCCGAACCACTCCAAATCCATCGCCTCCTCTACAACCTCACTCCGGACTACGAGTCCCGCCTCCATGCCTTCACTGAGGCAAACTCCATGGCTGGCCTCAACGACGTGGTCCAGTGGATCATTGACACAGAGGTCAAGCTCCGCACCCCCATTGTCAACCTCACCACCCCACAGTCCTCCTCCTCCACCTCCCTCAATACCACGCAGCCGCGCAACCAGGGTGGTCGCAACGGCGGCGGTGGAGGTCGTGGGGGGGGCGGCAGTGGCGGTGGCGGTCGGGGCGGTGGTGGTGGTGGTCGAGGTGGCCGTGGTGGTGGAGGTGGTAGTGCCACTCCTGGAGGTCCTGCTTGGGCTGGTGGTACTGTGAGCCGTGGAGGTCGCCCGGGCACTCTTCCGTCGTGCACCTATGTCCGCCGTCATGGCCCTCATGCCGGCACTCCCTGTGGTCAGACCAACCACCCCCCTGCCACATGCTTCAAGGCGCTTGATGACGTCTGGTTCGATCGTGGAAACACTGGCACCCCCCCTCGCTGGAACAGTGTCACCCCTCGTCCTTCCCTTGATGAAGTCCAAACCCTCCCTTCATTCCTCCCCTCTCACCTCCGCCAACTCACCCCTTCACCCCCTTCCCAACTGCAGCAGTTTCAGCAGCACCAGCAGCAGCAGCAGTACTTCCCACACCAGCAGCAGCCGCAGTTCTTCCACCCCCAGCAGCAGCAGTTTCTCCAGCCGCAGCAGCCGCCGCAGCAGCAGTTCTTCCAGCAGCAGCAGCCGCCGCAGCACCTTCCGCTGCAGTGGCAGCAGCAGCCGATGACCTTCGGCACCGCGGCCATGGCTGCGCATACCGCCCTCGCTCCCCCCCCCCCTGGGGCTCCCTCCCCTCTGCCCCCCCCCCAGTGTCCCTGACTCTCAGGGCAGCTTCCTTGGGCATATTGCTACTGCACCTTCCGTCGCTTCCATGTATCCCTCTGCTATCAATGAAACGTCTTTCCAGTACCCCGTGTCACCTCCCTCCCCCTCCTCCCCCACCTTGGACTTTGTCCTTGATAGTGGGGCCACCGAAACTGCACTTAAGGACGCTGGCACCCTCACCCCCCTCCCACTTCCCACTCAAGTCCATGGCGCTGACTCCAGTTTTTCCATACCTTGCACTCACCTCTCCACTCTCCCTTGCTCCGCCTTCCCCTCTGGCAAAGTCACAGGTCTCCACATCCCTACCCTCCGCAACAACCTCCTCTCCCACCGTGAGCTCCAAGGTGTTGGGATTACCGCTCTTTACCCGGGCTTTGCTACCTACTGTGATCTCTACCACACTGCCTCCGGTCGCTTCCTCCTCCGCATTCCCCTCTGCTCTCGCACTCGCCTTTATACGCTCCGCACACCCCGCCCATCCTTTTTCCATGTCACCACGCGTGCTGGCACTTCCACCGGTCCGCCTCCCCCTCTTCCTCCTCATACCCCTCCTCCTTAGTTACCCTTCCCCCCCACTCCACCTTCCCCCTCTCCCTCCCCCGCCTCCTCCCTCACTCCATCTCCCTCCTCCTCTACTGTCCTCTCCCACCCTGCCGTTCTTCTGCATCACCGTCTCGGTCATCCCAACTTCGCTGCACTTCGCACCACCGTCGCCTCTCGCCTCCTCAACAGCCTTCCTCCCACCTTACCTCCCCTCCTCTCCTCCCCTGCTCCCCCCTGCCCCTCCTGCATCCATGGCAAGCTCAAACAGTCACCCCATCACAGTCATCCCACCTTCGCAGCCGCACCCATTGACCTTGTTCACATGGATCTCTGGGGCCCCTATCCCATCCGCTCCCGTCAGGGGCACAGGTACATGCTCGTCCTCGTTGACGACCACAGCTGGTACTCCACCACCTTCTTTCTTCACACGAAAGACCAGGTGCCGGCCGTGGTCATCAACTGGGCTGAGCTGTGCCGCACTCACTTCAAACGCCCCATCGGCCGCCTTCACTCTGATGGTGGGGGTGAGTTCATTAATCACACACTCTCCACCTACTGCAAAACATACGGCATTCAGCAAACCTCCACCCTCCCCCACTCCCCTCAGCAAAATGGCATTACTGAGAGTCGCATTCGCGAGATCACCAAGATCGCTCGCTGTCTCATTGCTCACGCCTCCACCCCTCCCTCCCTCTGGAGCTATGCCCTCCTTCATGCCGCCCTCCTCCTCAATCTCCGCTCCCACCCTCAGCATCCCTCCTCCTCCCCCACAGAACTCTGGTCCAAGGCCAAGCCTGACGCCGCCGGCCTTCGTGTTTGGGGCTGCAAGGCGTTCGTCCTCATTCCACCGGCCAATCGCTCCCGCGATGCTGGCAAGCTCGCCCCTCGCGCTCTGGAGTGCGTCTACCTGGGGCACAATCGCGATTCCCCAGGCTACCTATTCCTCCACCCTCCCACCAATCGCCTCATCCGCAGCATTGACGTCGTCTTCGACGAATCCACTCCCTACTACTCCACTCCTCCTCCAGACCCTCTCCCCCCTCCCACTCGTCCCCTCGCTTGGACCGACACCGTCCTCCCGCCCCTTCTCCCTCCAGCCCCTCTCCTCCCACCCGTCGCCGCCCCGCTCCCGCCCTCCTCCTCCGCCGACGTCTACGACCCTGCCGCACCCGCCTCCCCCGCTCACTCGACTGCACCCCCTCTCCCCTCTCCCTCCTCCTCTCACTCTCCCTCCTTCCAGCAGCCGGATCAGCAGCAGCCGCAGCAGCAGCAGCAGCCGGGGCAACAGCAGCAGCAGCAGCAGCAGGGGCAGCAGCAGCAGCAGCGGCAGCAGCAGCAGCAACCGGGACAGCAGCCGCAGCAGCATCAGCAGCCGGGACAGCAGCAGCAGCAGCAGCAGCATCAGCAGCAGCAGCAGCAGCAGCAGCAGCAGCAGCAGCAGCAGCAGCAGCAGCAGCAGCAGCAGCAGCCGCAGCAGACACAGCAGCAGCACGGTCAGCAGCAGCCGCCGCAACAAGGGCAGCAGCTTCAGCAGCACCAGCAGCAGAAGCGGCGCCGTGCCACTTCCCGCTCCTCCCCCTTCCTCCTCCCTTACATCCATACCCGCTCTGTGGACAAAATCCTTGGGGCTCCTCCTCCTACCTCCATTCAGCTCCTTGAGGACTCCCATGAGGAGTTTCTCAACATTCGGGAGCACACTCCGTTCCTTGCCTCCCTCTACATTGGCTTCCTGGGCTTTCCCGTCCTTGGCGCCACTACCACCCCCACCATCTTCACTCCCTCCACCTTCCAGGAAGCCATCACCTGCCCTGACGCGGATAAATGGATAGCGGCGATCTTCCTGGAGTGTGAGGCTTTCATTCGCAACGACTCCTTTGTCGATGTCCCCCTCCCAGCCGGCGCCAACCTCGTTGACGGCAAATGGGTCTTTCGGGTGAAGCAGCTGCCGGGCGAGGACCCGGTGTACAAGGCACGCTACTGCGCCAAGGGGTTCACGCAGACTTGGGCCGAGGACTACTGGTTCACCTACGCCCCCACCGCCAAACCACCCACCCTTCGCGCCGCCCTCGACATTGGCGCACGTGACAACATGGAGATCGATTCCATGGACGTCTCCAATGTGTTCCTGCAGGGCGACCTGCACGAGCGCATTTTCCTCCGGCGACCCCCCGGGTTCCACGCAGCCTTCCCTGAGAACACTGTCTGGCAGCTGCGTCGCCCTGTCTACGGCTTGAAGCAGGCACCGCGTGAGTGGCATGCGAAGCTGGCTGCCACCTTAGGGTCTCTCGGCTTCTCTGCTTCCCACTCTGACGCCAGCCTCTTCATCCGCTCCTCCCCCCGCCGCTTCTTCATTCTGGTGTATGTGGACGACATGATCCTGCTCTCTGACACCAGGGCCGGCATGGAGCAGATGAAGCTGTCCCTGCAGCAGCGTCTCAAGTGCAAAGACCTTGGCGCCCTCACTCACTACCTGGGCATGGCCATCACGCGCGACCGCTCTGCTCGCACCATCACCCTCTCACAGTCCCACTACGTCGGCCAGGTCTTGGAGAAGTTCGACATGGCGCAGGCCAAGCCTGTCTCCACCCCCCTCCCTTTCGGCCACCAACTCGCTCCACCCACCTCCCCCACCTCCTCCCCCCACCCCTATGCCGAGCTCGTCGGGTCCCTGATGTACGCGATGATGTGCACCCGCCCCGACCTCGCCTACCCCATCAGCGTGCTCGCTCGCTTTGTCGGCACCGGTCGTCACACTGAGGAGCACTGGAAAGCTGCCAAGCGGGTCCTCCGATACCTTCGCGGGACCAAGGACCTTGCCCTCACCCTTGGCGGCCCTTCCCCTCCTCTTCTCTCGGGCTTCAGTGACTCCTCTTGGGCTGACACACAGCCGGACCGCCGCTCCTCCCAGGGCTACGGCTTCACCCTTGGCAGCGGCCTCATCAGCTGGCGCTCCACCCGCTCCTCCGCCATCTCTCTCTCCACCTGCGAGGCCGAGCTCTACGCTGGCACCATGGCCGACCAGGAGTCACGCTGGCTCTGCTTCTTTCTTGCAGAGCTTGGCGCCCCCCAGACATGCCCCACTCTCTGGTGCGACAATGCCAGCACCATCAATCTCACTCAGGACCCCGTCTATCACGCCCGCTCTAAGCACATCGAGCTCCGCTACTTTTTCGTTCGCGAGCTCGTCCAGAAGAGCCTTCTTGCCGTTCGCAAGATTGCGACCGAGGCCAACTTGGCCGACATCTTCACTAAGGCCCTCCTTCGCCCTGCGCAATCCGCTTTCCTCCGCCTCATTGGCCTCGCTCGCCCGGGCGCCCCTTGATTCAGGGGTTGTTCTCTTCTTGTGTTAGCATGCTAAGGGGTTGTGTTAAAATATATATTGTGTAGCATGCCAACACATGTGACTGTACACCAATTGTGGTGTACAGTTGGGTTGGGACTACACCCAACTTTGGGTGTAGTCTTGCACTTTGGGGTGCCAATCCACCCAATTGTGGTGGAGCCCCCAAATGCAACCCACTTGACTTATGGGTGCCTCACTTCTACAAAGTGTGGGCAACCCAACCCACTTGACCTATGGTAGCCTCACTCCCCCAAGTGAGGTCAACCCAACCTGTGGTCACCTTCACCCTTCTCTTCCAAGTCTCCCTTCCAACTATGTATGCTAGGTTTCTCCCCTAATGAAGTTACTTGTTCAATTTACAATCTTAACACGCGGGGCAGTGGGGGTGCGTGACGCGCGGGGCAGCGGGGGACGGGGCAGCTGGGCTGCGGGGCGCGCGGGGCAGCAGCGCACGCAGAAGCACGCACGGGGCAGCAGCGCGTGTGGGGCATCGGGGCAGCGGGGCGCGCGTGACGGTCGCACGCGTGGCAGTAAAACGTGCTAGGGGCAGCGCGTAACGGGCAGCGAGGGGTCGACCTAACCTGACCTAGGTTCGACAGTAGGTCCGGTAGTCGATCCTAACCTAGGCTCGGATACCATGTCAAGAACGTAGCGGATGAAGTATGACTAGAAAGTGAGAGTACAAGCAAACATGTATGAAACCTTAAGTGGGTTGTACTCTAGAAGGGCTACCTCACTACAGCCTACAGCAATATATGCAATACCGTATGATTTTAACACCTAGGGTCCTATATCCGGGGGAATACGGTAGCAGAAGTGATAGATTGGTAAGGTAAGGGTGTAAATATACGAGAATTGAGAGGATGGCTGTACCCTATACTATGCAACTCACTACAGCCTAACATATCTAGCACATTTGTAAATTCAATTTGACATTCCTTTCCACAAAGCCATTGTTCAACCACCTCCTTTCGGCCCTTCTCCTGCAATTTGCCCAGCATCTTCCTCAACCCCCCTCTGCAGATGGGCAGTTCTCTCCCACAGTGAAACCTTGCTCCTCTCCTCTCTCGACAACTATCTCTTCTTCCTTATCTCCCACGGCCTCCACCTCACCTTCATCGACAACCCCCTCTTTCTTCTCCTCGCTCGTCCCCTCCCCACCTCCCGCCCACATCATCCCCCAAGCCACGTCCGCCAATCCTTCAAACCCAGGCCACCCCGCCTCTCCCGTCCCCTCCTTCCCCTCCTTTCCCTCCTTCTCACCTTCCACACCCTCTCCAGCACCCCACCATCCCGTCACCAACCCCCAACCCCCACTCCCACCGCCAAACGAACCAAACCCAGCAAACCCACCCGCCCCAGTTTCGCCTCCCCCTGCAGCGCCCTGCATCAGCTTCTCCATGCCGATGGGCGGCACAGAGGGGGAGTACCTGGGGAGGCACAGCCGGGCGTGCTGCACAGGCTTGGGGGTGGAGGGGGGGCGCCAGAACTCTCTCGAAGCGGAATACACCGCCACCGCCGCTCGGATTGACTCTCCAGGGGACACTGGCGCTGCCACTGCTGCTGCTGCTGCCGACAGGAGGGAGGTGTCACTCTTCACTCGCACACTCATCCCTTTTCTCTGGTCCATCCTCTCCTCCTTGCTCCCCTCATCTCTCCCCCCCATTCTCTCCTGACTGCCGTCCATGCCCTGCAGGAGGGCGGTCTCCTGGCGGTGCTCCAGCAGGGCGCGCTCTGGAAAGGAGAGCAGCGAGCGGGAGATGCGCAGCGAGCGAGGGAGCGACCGCTTGGTCCAGTGGGGCAGGCCGGGCAGAAAGAGGCCGGCAGAGGGGGGATACGACGGGGAAGGCGGGCAGGAGGAGGCGTGAGGTAGGGAGAGGGAGGATGAGACACCCATGCTCTCATGCCATCGCCTCAACCGCGACTCAAGAGACTCCTGTCCCTCCTTCCCTCCCTCCCCATCTGCTGTTGCTTCTTCTGTCGCTGCTGCTTCTTCTGCCACTGCTGCTGCCGAGGTCGCTGCTGCTGCCGCTGCTGCTGCTTCTCCCACGGGTTGTGATAGGACAAGGCGGGATGGCCGTGGGGATGGCAGGCCCTCAATATCAGGGCAGCAGGAAGTGTGGAGGAACCGTTTAGACACACCCGCTGATGGTGCTGCTGCTCTCCTTGGCAACTGGGGGGCACCAGTGCTGGTTATTCCGCCTGCTGCTGCAGAGAAGTAGTCAATGCTCCCTGTTGAGTGCGAATGAGTCGTGCTTGCAGTGTGTGAATCAGCCCTGCACGCATCTGCAGTGTCCCAATCAGCCCTGCACGCATCATACCTCTCAGCAGTTGTCTCTGCCGTGCGGGACCGTTGAGGCAGCCCCACACTGACCAGGTGGGAGGAGAGGATGATGGGCACAGGAGACATGGAACATCCACTCAAGATGCGCTCACACACCAACCGCGCACTCCCCGCACTGCCCACACTGCCCAAACTGCCCCCGCTGCCCACACTCCGTGCACTGTCACAGCGCTGCAGGCTTCGTCCAAAGGATGCACGGCCAAAGGCCTGCTCGAAGGGGCACTCAGAGGCACTTCGGCGGTGCAGCGATCGCCTGCCACCCGCCTTTGTTCTCACTGGAACTTGAGACGGAGTGGTGCAATCGTTCATGCCCTGGATGCTCCTCTCCACGCTGCTGCTCCTCTGTGGCCCCCTGCTACAGCCGTTCCCCATGCCTTCCTCCCTGCCGTTGTAGCAACCCCTGCTGCCGCTACAGCAATCCGTGCCTGGAAAGTCAGCATCATTAGTGCCACAGCCTTCCCCACACAACACTTCTACGCCTATGTCATTCAATGAGGGATGATCCGCATGCACACACTCAAAAAGGGTTTCGCTACCGCCACCATCGTTATAAGAACATCCATGTTTGGAGCGATGCGAGTGATCGAGATGAGACGAGGAGGAGCAGTTTGCCATACGGTGCTCTTCACTGCTTTCCTCCTCTTCCTCTTCCTCCTTTTCCTCCTCCTCCTTATCCTCCTCCTTTTCCTCCTCCTCCTCCTCCTCCTCTTCCTCCTCCTCCTCCTCCTCCTCCTCCTCCTCCTCCTCCTCCTTATCCTCCTCCGTATCCTCCTCCTCCCTCTCTGCCTCCTTGAGCTCGAAACCTTGCTCGGCTATATTCCCCCCGTCCCCCTCACTCGTTTTCTGCAGCTTCTCCAACCCCGCCTCTCTGTACCCATATGCAGCCCCATACCCTTCCAAAGCCTCACTTCGGGTTCCACTTGATACTGCGTCTATAGTAGCAGCAGTGGCGAGAGCAGCATTGGCATGAACAGCAGCAGTAAAGCTCTTTGCGACTGAAGATTTCTCTGCTTTCGCAGCAGCGTGAACTGGGGAAGGAAAGGGCAGGGTGGGGCATATGAGAGGGACCAGGTGAGCAGCTGCGGGGGCTCTCACTGCCTCGTGGCCCGGATGGCAGCTGGGCAGCCCTTGTGCTGCCGCCTCCTGCACCCTCTCATGCTGTACCTCCTCTCGCTCCCCCTGCTGCTGCTGCTGACTAAGCGAGATGCAGCCCGGCCCAGCAGGAGGAGGCATGTCACACATGGAGCCCAGGGGTGAGTTGAGGCGATTTCCAGGAGGCGCGTCCCACAGGTTGCGGCGAGTCCGCTCAGATGTTCCCTAGAAGCCTGGTGAGTCTGCACCGAACCATGAGCCACGAGGGACCTTGGGGCTCTTGGGAGGGAGCCGGGGGATGCACGTCTGTTGAGCCTGCACTTCTCGCCGCACTTCTGCTGCTATTACTGCTCCTCCTCCTCCTCCTCCTCCTTCTCCTCCTCTTCCTTCACCTCCTTGCACGTGTGCTGCTCCTCCCAGTGGTTTTGGTGGTTCGTCTGATGCGTGCAGCAGCAGGTCCAGGTGGTCTCCGCAGCTATGGGCGCGCCTGTGGCCATGTGCACGGGCACGTGGGCCACGAGAGACCTTGGGGCTCTTGGGAGGGAGCCGGGGCACGGGCCTTGCTTGAGCCTCCTTTCCATCTCGTGCTGCTGCCCCTGCTTCTTGCTGTGACTCCCTTGATTCCTGCGATTCTTGCCGCACTACCGCTGCTGCTGCTCCGCCTGGTGACTCCAGCAGCAGCAGCTCCAGATTGTCTGAGGAGCCATGGGCACGCCTTGGCATCATGCGTGACCGGCGCCTCCTCGTGTCTGAGTGAAGGGATCTGGGAGAGTTTCTTAGCCCTGCTCCTCCTCCTCCCCCTCCTTCTCCCCCTCCTCCCCCACCACCACCTCCTCCTCGGGCAATGGTGAGCTGATGCAAAGATGTTGGTAACAGTCCCTCGAGGGACTGCGACGGAAAGGCCAGGGGTGCAGACGTGTTTGAGGGGGTTAGGTACGTGGTGTCGGTGAGGGCCTGAACGGCCCTCCTGCTGCTGCCGTAGCTGCTGTCACTCATGCTGTCGCTGCACCCTACGCTGCTGCTGCTGATATCACCACTGCTGCCGCCGGGGATGTGCACGCTCCTGCTGCTGCTGCACGCTGCTGCACACACTGCTGCCTCGGGGAATCTGGGCGCTTTTGATGCTGCTGCTTTCCTGTTGGTGGTGAGACAGTGAGGCAGGGTAGATGGGAGTGGCATGCCCGGGGATACCATACGCGTCTGGGTGTAGAGGTGACGTGTGAGCTGCTTGAGAAGACTTTTGGATAGAAGCAGGGTAGACGGGAGGGGCATGCACGGGGACGCCATATGCGCATGGCTGTGGAGGTGGGGAGGCAGCAGCGTGTTCAGAAGCAGCAGAGTGCTCAACCCAAGTCTGGGCGGCCTTACAAGGCTGTCGAAGTGCAGAGCCAGTGTGCATTGAGTGCTCAAACGAAGCAGCAACACCAGCAGCAGCAGCAGCAGCATCAGGGGCAGCCGCAGCAGCAGTAGAAGCAGCAGCAGCAGCAGCAGAACCGGTGTCAGCAGCAGCATGCAGGGAGGGGGGATTCGGGAAGGTGAAATTTGGCCTGCTAATGCCTTTCCACCTGCAGTCTGCAAGCTGTTGTTTCTCTGGCTCTGGCCCTCCCTCCGGCCCTTCCCGAACAGCTTCAGCACTGCTTTCAGCATCCTGCTCTTGCTGCGGCTCCTCCCACAAACACCGCCGCCACCGTTGCCGCTGTCGCCACGACCAACTGTGCGCTTTTGTGACGCGCTGCTGACGTCAGCTGCTGCATCAGCTGCCCTAGGGGTATTGGGCAGCTCCGTTTGCACGTCGCATCGTACCCAATGCCCATCGCAGGAACAACTTCATCCCTTGGCACGCGGCACAGCCATGAACGGATATGTCATGACCCTCGCCCTCCTACTCGCCGTCGACCTACAAGTTTCGCAGCCCATTACCATGGGAGTGCAGGTCAGTACCCTCTTTTATTAAGCGTGCGCATGTTGGTACCCTCGCACTCCTGCTCACTGTTGACCTCCAACTCCCACAGCTCAGTGCTCACATCATCACGGATGGGTGATACATCTCTTTCCACCCCCACTGTGCTGTGTGCAGGTGGACTGGGAGTCCATCCTCTGACCCTCATCCAACATATTCATCACAAGTGTCTCCTCATGGCTCTACCCATCACTGGTGCCGGCTCCAGATGCTGCCAGCATTCCCAGTGTGCGAGGGCACTTCCCCACCATTGGCGATGTTGTCTAGGTGCTCAGTTCAGTAGTTCGTTCACAGAGTTATAAGGCAGGCACAAGGCATTCGTCTGTTCTTCGACGCACAGGCATTTGAGCGATCGCGGTGAGGAACTTTATTAAGATAGGATGTTACTAGTACCAACGGATTAAACCAAAACACTGTCACTTCAAAAGAACCATTTGCTGCTCCTGTCATGTATCAATGCACAATGTACATGCTATTATAAACTGCCGTATTTTGATCCTCGTACGGTAATCAGCAGAATGTGACAATCACCGCAATAGCATGGCATGACAACTACAAATCGAACAGATTCTGCTCTCATTCCAGCAACGGAACACCACAGCACATCTCCTCGGAAATATTTCACGTACGACACCAATCTTGACTTCCCTCTGGACACTGCTGCACCACCACAAACAACCGTTTCCTCCTTCCCCAGTTACCCCTCACTTGAGTCACGTTCGTCCTTTCTGTCCTCGTCCCAGTAATCACGTCTCAACTCACAGGCGCCTACAGGTGCCACCCCCAAGAACCCTTCACTGTAATCACATTCATCCTATCCACCAGCAACTGTGGCAGCTCCTTCAGATACATACACCCATCCAGATCCACCTCCCTCAGACAGGACAAACTTCCCAAGTCGCAGGGCAGAGCCCTCAGTCGCTTGCATCCTTGCAGAGAGAGCTTGATGAGGCACGGGAGGGAGAGAGGGGAGGGGAGGCGACGGAGGAATGCAAGGCGCTTAAGTGTGAGAGAGGCAAGGCTGGAGAGAGAGATGGAATCCGGGAGGCAGGTGAGTTTAGGACAGTCTACGATGGTGAGACGCACGAGGGAGGAGAGGGGGGTGAAGGAGGGCGGCAGGGATTTAAGAGCATGGGATGACTCTAGGCTTAGATCGCGCAGAGCTTTAAGCTGCCCGATATCCTCGGGCAGGTGGGTCAGCAAGGGGAGTGACTTGAGTGTGAGCTGTTGGATATTGGAGAGGCTAGTGAGGGACGCGGGAAGGGAGGCCATGGCAGGACGCAGATGGATCGCACAAGGTGGCGATCTACGACGTCCGTCGCGAATTCGCCGAGGTGAAGGTGGCGAAGGTTCGGGAATCCCAAGGTGGGTAGAACCAGGAGCGAGGCGAGAGTTTGGGAGGAGAAGAAACGGTCGTAAGGCACGACGATGGCGGGATGCACGGATCTGGCGACGCGCAGCCATCGCTTGCAGACTAGAGCGTGGCGAAAGGAGACGAGCGAAGAAGCAGTAACCACACGTGCATCGTGCATGGTGTCAGCCCACGCACTCTCCGGCGGCAGTCGCTCGCGCAATGCTTTCTCGATAGACTTTCGCAGAATGTCCTCCTTACTGCATTCAGAATCATCGCCGTCGAATCTGGTGGTTGTTGCTGACGCGGCGAGAAGAAGGATCGAGCCGAGAAGGTCGTCAGAGAATCGAGAAAAGTGATCACCACACATCATGTCGTGTGCTGCCAGTGATACTAGCTTGAATGCTGAAGGTGGCACCTTGATTGACGTTCCCAAGAAGTGCACGAAATTCACTAGGGGTGGCTTGGTTGTGAAGATAGTTGCAGCAGCCTTGGTATTCAGGCGGGTCAGTAGCGAGCGGTTCCAAGCGGTGTAGAGGGGACACCGCTCAAGAATTATATCGGTAGAATAAGAATAATCAGCGGTAATCAGTAATCAGTGGACTTTTGGGGGCCTGAAAGGAGGCATTAAAGAATGTAGTCTCAACTGCCTCTACCTTTTCAATACGGAGCCCAGCCCGCATGCTGCGATCAGAAGTTGATCGTAACCATGATCACCTCGGGAAGGTTCGCACACAACTGAGTGATAGTGGTGGGCCCTTGACCTCAAAACAGAGTGAGTGTAAAATGATTGAGATGTTTTAGAACATGCAAATACAGACATATAAATAAGAGTACATGTGGAATACGAAATGACCTATCTAGCCATATACTCTAAGGGATACATTCCCTTATTACAGCGAAATCCAACCGCGCGACTCCAGACGGTTACGTAACTGTCCGGGCAGAATCCTCGCCACTGCTGCTGCATGATGTTATCTGCCCTGACGGTTCAAATGCTCCGTATTCGTACGCGACTCTTCGCGTCACTCTGCCTTTTCGTATTCAACCTCGATATTGTATGCTTCACTTGCTGCGGTTAGGAGTGCACACTGCCTTTCTCATTTCACTATTTGTAACACCCCCCTTCACTCTTGGCCGTAGCCGGTCTTCACCCGCTTGACTACTCCGCTGAGTTCAGAGAAGTGCTAATACTACTGATGTGATAGTCGCTTCGTGAGGAAATCTGCTGCCATGTCACCTCTCGGGCAATTGGTCAAGTCAACCTTGCCCTTGTCCACTTCGTCATTGACGAAGATGTACCGCAGCGCAAAGTGTTTGGTGTGGTTGACGAACCCAGGTTTGTTCGCGACCTGATCGCGCTCTGGTTGTCGCATTGCAGGCGAAAGGTGGACGAAGATGGAATTTTCGCCTCCTGTAGGTAAAGTCCCTCGCGAACTGGTGTTGTCGAGGCGATAAACTCAGCTTCCACTGATGACAGGGCAACCAGTTCCTGTTTTTGCGAATTCCAGGAGATGGGTCTTGTCGGTTCGAGTCGGAATAGGAACCCAGTTCTGGACCGTCGATTATCCGGGTCAGCGGCGTGATCGGCGTCCACGTAGCCGATAAGGTTGAAGGACGAGGTTGGGAATGTGGAGTAACAGAGCCCGACATAGGGCGTAGAGATGAAGATTCTCCGCTGTTGGTTTGCGTGAGTACTGGACAGCTGGCTCGCGATGTATGAGAGATCTGGCCTGCAAGTGACAAAGGCGAAGAGCAGACAATCTAGCTGCTGCTGGTAAGTCTGGAGTCCAGCGAGGGACAAGGCTTTGTTTTCAGGCTTGTGGTTCGGTCCAGGAGTGCGGTAAGGGGTGGAAAGTGGTGCAGGCGCAATGTTGAAGCGTTTGCCAAGTTCTTCTGCGTACTTGGCTGCTGAGAGGTGAATGGCTTCTAGTGAGTAGGAGATGTTCAACCCAAGGAACTGCTTCACGTCATGGTTATAGGTAATGTCAACGCGCCCCGCGAGATTCTTCTCGAACTGCTCGAGGAGTTTGTTGCTTGACCCTGTGTAAAGGAGGTCGTCGACATAGACCGTGAGCAGGATGTATTCGCTACGGAAATCTCGGCAGTACCCTGGATCGTGAGGCAGCTGCTTGAAGCCTATCTCAAGCAGGATGTTGTGTAGGTATTATTGCCAGAGCCTTGGCGCCTCTTTGATCCCGTAGAGAGACTTTCACAGCTGGCACACACGTGAGTCTCCTTCGCCGTATGTATGCGGCTGCTCCACATAGATCACCGCATCCAGTAACGCGTAAAGGAACACATTCTTCACATCGATTTGGCGAAGCGGTAAGTGCTTGGCGGCGGCGATGGCGAGTAGAATTCTGACAGAGGTGTGACGGCTGACCAGCGCAAACGTCTGATTAGAGTCAATGCCATGCCTCTGGTCGTAGCCGCGCACGACCTAGCGCCCCTTAAATCGCTCGATCGTGCCATCCGCTGCGGTCTTCGCGCGGAAGACCCATTTGCCGGAGAGAATCCTTCTCCCTTTAATTGCAGCACAATCGACGAGCACCCATGTGTTGCGAGACTCGAGTGCCCTGAATTCTGCATTCATCGCTTCGCACGATTCTTTGCTGTGTGGTTCCGTGGGTGCTTGCCGTGGATTCTTGGGCTCGATGAGACGTGGCGCCGTTGAGGTGGCGGTGTGGAGTCCGAGGAGCTGCAGTCCTGAGACGGTGTTTTCGTGGCAATGCTGTGGGATAACTTCCTACACGTCATCGTCATCACTCTCTGGCTGAGGTGGTGCTGGCGGTGCTGCGCCTCTGCTGCTTCCTCTTGCTCCGCCACCTCCATCTTCAGGGGAATCTTCGTCATCGTCATCACTGCTGTGGCGAACGCCTCTTGTGAATTCGCCCCTGGTGTCTTGCTCCAGGATGGCTGCGGCGGCTTCGTCTTCAGGTGTGGTGTAGTTGTGACCGTCATTAGCGTAGACGCAATTCGCGTTCGTCCGCTCGTCTTCGCGAAACTGCTCAAGAAACAGTCGCTCGTAGAAGATCACATCGCGCGCATTCGTGATCTTCTGGCTGATGAGGTCTAGGATGATCCATGCCTTATATCCGTGGCTGATGCCGAGGTGAATTTCCCAGCGAGCGCGGCTTACGAATTTGCCGATGGTTGACGTTGGCGGGCGGTACTGCACCATGCATCTCCACATGCGGAGCATGGATGTGTCGCCTTTCGTGCCCGTCCACTTCAGGTGCGGGGACAGGTTGCCAGTGATGGCAGTGGTTGACAGCAAGTTGGGATGGGGAGATGAGGCATGGGGAGGTGAGTGATGGGGATATGAGAGATGAGGAGGAGAGGGATGGGGAGATGAGGGATGGGGAGATGAGGGATGGGGAGATGAGGGATGGGAAGATGAGGGATGGTAAGATGAGGGATGGTAAAATGAGGGATGGTAAGGAGAGGGATGGGGAGATAAGGCATGGGGAGGTGACGGATAAGGATATGAGAGATGAGGAGGAGAGGGATGTGGAGATGAGGGATGGGGAAATGAGGGATGGGGAGATGAGGGATGAGGAGATGAGGGATGGGGAGATGAGGGATGGGGAGATGAGGGATGGGGAGGAGAGGGATGGGGAGATGAGGGATGGGGAGGAGCGGGATGGGGAGATGAGGGATGGGGAGATGAGGGATGGGGAGAAGAGGGATGGGGAGATGAGGGATGGGGAGATGAGGCATGGGGAGATGAGGGATGGGGAGATGAGCGATGGGGAGGTGAGGGATAGGGAGAACCCGGGATGGGGAGAAGAGAGATGGGGAGATGATGGATGGGGAGATAAGGCATGGGGAGATGAGGGATGGGGAGATGCGAGGAGGGGATGGGGTGTGGAGGAGATGGGGTGAGGAGGAGATGGGGTGAGGAGGAGATGGGGTGTGGAGGAGGAGGGGTGTGGAGGAGATGGGGTGTGGAGGAGATGGGGTGAGGAGGAGATGGGGTGTGGAGGAGGAGGGGTGTGGAGGAGATGGGGTGTGGAGGAGATGGGGCGAGGAGGAGATGGGGTGTGGTGGAGATGGGGTGTGGAGGAGATGGGGCGAGGAGGAGATGGGGTGAGGAGGAGATGGGGTGTGGAGGAGATGGGGTTTGGAGGAGATGGGGTGTGGAGGAGATGGGGTGAGGAGGAGATGGGGTGTGGAGGAGATGGGGTGAGGAGGAGATGGGGTGAGGAGGAGATGGGGTATGGAGGAGATGGGGTGAGGAGGAGATGGGGTGTGGAGGAGCTGGGGTGTGGAGGAGATGGGGTGAGGAGGAGATGGGGTGAGGAGGAGATGGGGTGTGGAGGAGATGGGATGTGGAGGAGATGGGGTGAGGAGGAGATGAGGTGTGGAGGAGATGGGGTGAGGAGGAGATGGGGTGTGGAGGAGGGGTGAGGAGGAGATGGGGTGTGGAGGAGATGGGATGAGGAGGAGATGGGGTGAGGTGGAGATGGGGTGTGGAGGACATGGGGCGAGGAGGAGATGGGGTGAGGAGGAGATGGGGTGAGGAGGAGATGGGGTGAGGAGATGGGGTGAGGAGATGGGGTGAGGAGAGTGGACGACAGGGGAATTGCACGTCACGGTTGGTGGGGATGGGGAGATGAGGGACGGAGTGGGTAGGCATGGGGAGGTGAGGGACGGGGAGGTGAGGGACGGGGAGGTGAGGGACGGGGAGGTGAGGGACGGGGAGGTGAGGGACGGGGAGATGAGAGACTGGGAGGTGAGGGATGGGGAGGGAAGGGATGGGGAGGGAAGGGATGTGGAGGCGGGGGAGGGAAGGGATGGGGAGGCGGGGATGGGGAGATGAGGGATGGGGAGATGAGAGTTGGGGGGATGAGGGATGGTAAGATGAGGGGTGGGTAGGTAAAGCATGGGGAGGTGACGGATGGGGATATGAGAGATGAGGAGGAGAGGGATGGGGAGATGAGGGATGGGGAAATGAGGGTCGGGGAGGTGAGGGATGGGGAGATGAGGGATGGTAAGATGAGGGGTGGGGAGGTAAGGCATGGGGAGGTGACGGATGGGGATGTGAGAGATGCCGCGGAGAGGGATGGGGAGATGAGGGATGGGGAAATGAGGGTCGGGGAGGTGAGGGATGGGGAGATGAGGGATGAGGAGGAGAGGCATGGGGAGGTGAGGGACGGGGAGATGAGGGACGGGGGGAGTGTGAGGGCGCTGTGGCATAGTAGAGTGTGAGGGCGCTGTGCCTTAGTAGAGTGTGAGGGCGCTGTGGAAGTGATTCCGCAACAGCTTAGAGGGATCGAGACCGATGAGGAGAGGTGAGAAGCTGACCGTTCACGGGAGACAGTGCTGTGTGGTGCGGACGACGGGAAGGCAAGAAGTGGTAGTCGACGGAAAAGGGATGTGGGGTCGACGGGTAAGGGTAATGCGGCCGACGAGAAGGGGATCTGCAGTCGACGGGAATCTGAAATTTTGGCGGCGGGATCGCCTATAGCTGGCTCATCGATGAGGAAATGCGACTGAATCGACGGGGAAATGTGGGTGGCTTGAAGGGGAAATGCTTCGCGCGAATCGTAGGAAAAATGCGGGCGGGTCGCACGGGACATGCGTGTGACGGGTAGGGAATATTAGCGCTACGGGAATGGCACCCTCACGCGTCGAAGTCCATAATTGTGGGCGACGGGAAGGCTAAATGCGGGCGTCGCCGGGTATCAAAACTGCGCGCGCTGTAGGCCTAAATTGTACCCGACGGGGCTTGAATTTGCGTGCGAAATTTAGGGGAAACGCGGATGGTGAGGAGACGTCGTGGTCAGCAACCGGAAGTTTAACGAAAGATGCACCCTAGCTAAAACAAAGCGCGACGGCCTGGTGTCGCTACCACACAAACAACTCGAAAGGAATGTGTGGTAGCGACACACAGGGTGCGCCGCTATTGGACGAATGGAGTAACAAATGCAGCATTGCAATAACGGTTGTCGCTGATGGAACGGCCAGTGCCCTTACTGGTAGAGGACATCCTCGAAGCAGGAAGGATGCCCGCACCGGTGACGCAGCCAGACCACCCGACGCAGTTCGCGTGCAATGAGGTGGGGAAGCCGCGGCAGGCCTGGCCCACGTTCGTGTCATACGAGGGGGCAGCGGCGTTCAAGATGCACGGTGAAGATCCGGGGCCAGGGCTAGTGTACGACTGCACGGCGGGGGAATGGCAAGAACCTACAGCACTGGAGCGTGAGTTGGCAATGGGCTTCATGGAAGATGCGACCGCACATCCAGAAGTGACGGAAACCGAGAGGAGGCGTGCGCTGGGGAGAGCCATGGACCTGAACGCCATGCACTGGCTCATGGCGACGATTCGGATGTATCACTCGCAGCTTCGGTGGGAACGAAAGCGGGATAAGGCAGCGGCAGTGCAACCCCCCACGGAGCGCTCGGCAGTTAAAGAGGCACTGGCCAGGGCCATGCTGGGAGACATACACGAGAACGACATGGTCCAACACCAGTTGGGGCATCCGCTGGAGAGGAGATGGGTGTACCCATGGGAAGAGGGGGACGAAGTACCGGCCTTGTATGCAGAGCAGACCCAGATCTGGCTCCCAGTAGAGCGGGAAAAGGCAGCCGTGGACAAGAAGCGGGAGGATCTGGACTGGGTTGAGGAAGCCATCGAGAGGCAGCGGAGAAGGGAGAGTTACGAGCGAGATTTCGGCTCGAGAGAGTTCGCGCTGATGGCGGCGACGAAGGAGGAAGGGGTGGAGACGAAGACGCAGGGAGGGCGCCAGGAAGAAAAGGAGAAGGGGGAGCAGACGGAGCTAGCCAAGGCAGGAGGGTCCGCGCGGGGGATGGGAGAGAAGCAACCACCAGCGACAGCGGCAGCAGAGCAGCAATGGGAGATCGGAGATGGCGTCACGGAGGAGGACGCGGCAGAACTGAAGAAGGTGCTGGCGAAGCATCGGCCGGCTTTCGCCTACACACTGAAGGAGGTGGGCAGGTGTAACATGGCGGAAGTCAGCATAGAGCTGACCACAGAGATTCCGGTATACCAACGGCGGCGGAGAATGACAGCAAAAGAGGTACAGATCTGCACAGAGAAGTGCCAAGAGCTGATGGAAGCCGGGTTCATACGGAAGTCCAACTCCAAATACGCAGCAGCCACGGTGGTAGCTGCCAGGACAGATTTCACAGGCCAAGTGCTATCGAAGCAAATTTGTGGGGACTATCGCGGGCTGAATAAGGTCACGGTGATGAAGCGATATCAGACGCCTACACCGGACGAGCTGTTTGACAAGCTAACGATAGTAGTGGTCTTCTCCACCCTGGATCTGCGACAGGGGTTTAATCAGATACCCATAGTGCGGACCGGAAGAAAACTGCCTTTCACGGACCAGACGGGCAATATGAGTGGTACACGTTACCATTTGGACTGAAATCTGCCTCGCCGGAGTTCCAGCGCATCATGGACCAGATCTTGCGGAATGTGCCGAACGCCGCCTGTTACATCGACGACGTGATCGTGTTCAGCACGGATAGCAACTCACATGTGAAGGACGTGGAGGCGGTCCTGAGCGCGATACAGAATGCCGAGATGACCTGCCACCCGGGGAAATGCAAGTTCGGGCAGAGTACGGTGGCGTACCTAGGATTTGAAGTGGAAGGGGGGAGGATCGGCATCCAGAAGGCGAAGGTAGAGGTGCTGGACCGCGTGGCAACACCGAAGGACAGGAGCACACTACGCGCACTACTAGGCTTCCTCAACTACTACAGGAAATTTGTCCCAAACTTTAGCAGCCGAGCTCAAGCACTCAATCAACTGCTGAGGGAGGACCGCAAGTGGGAGTGGGGACCAGACCAAGAGAGAGCCGTGCAGGACCTCATGGGAGCCGTGAAGAATGGAGCAGTGCTGGAACCGCCTAGGGCTGATCTACCTTACGTGCTCTACACCGACTGGAGCAGCGCGGGCATGGGTGCAGTCCTGGTGCAAATGAAGGGGGAGGTGGAGAAGGTAGTAGCCTTCGCAAGCCGCAGCTGCAATGCGGCAGAGGCCAACTACTCGTCGTACGAAGGAGAGGGGCTAACGGTGGTGTGGGCAGTAAAACACTTTCGAGTGTACTTGCAAGGGAGAAGGTTTACCCTGGTGACCGACCACCAGCCACTGCTGTGGCTCATGCAGACGCCGGATCTGACAGGCAGGAACGCGCGGTGGGCGATGAAGCTCCAAGAATACGACTTGGAGATCAAGCATCGGCCTGGGAAAACCATGCAGCACGTAGACGGGCTCTCGAGGAATCCGCCGGCGGTGCAGCCCTCAGCGTGCCTGATGGCACTGGCAAAGGAAGCAGATCGAGGGAGGCAGTGGGGAGAAGTGCGGGGTGGACCAGCAGACATATGGGAAGATAAGGCAGCCTTGGCGTGGATTCAGGGGGCAACCACAGAGGAGGGAGCAGTTACGGCAAGAGTGAGAGCACGTGGCGAGTACTATCGCTGGTTCAAGGGGCAAGTACAGCTGAGGACCGGAGAAGGCCGGAAGCACGTGGAAATGGGGTGCGAGACGGGCCTAGCGCCGAGGTTGGGAAAATGTCGAGGCGGAGGTCCGGAGAGCGGGTTACCAACCGAACCGTGAGGTTGGGTCGCGGCGTAAACACTGGGAAGAACAGTGTCAACGCAAGTGGTAACGTCTTACTCTTGGGTGTTGTTGACGGGAACAGTGATGTACGCGCTGAGCAGGGACGCGAAGTAAGGAAAAGGAATTTTCCTTACACAGATGAAATATTTAAGGCCGTCTGTGAAAACATATTCAAAATTTAACGTGCCCAATAATTCAAGGGTATAGCGTATTGGTTTGATTTGAACACGGATTCTGGAGGGTGTGGGATCGATTCTTGCAAGGTTTCCTTTGTATTCGCTTCAGTTATCAGACGGATGTTTCATCGCTGTCTGGAAACTCATACGAAATATAACCAGTGTTCCGAAAAAACATATGAGTATAAATGCCTCATCTGAGCTCTCATATGAGCTACATTTTTTTGTCTGCGAAAACATAACAACAAGAAATGAGTCTGAGATCTAGACCAACAGACTAAATTAGTCTGATAACGAGAGCCCTGTGGGCAACTAGTGCTGCTCGACACGAAGAACCTTCGCCTACCCGGCTCGTCAAAATTACGGCCACAATTTTGTGGGCCTTCCAAGATCATCCAGATGGTGACACCGGTCACCACGAAGCTGCTGCTACCGGACGATTGGCGTATACACGACGCCTTCCATGTCAGCCTCCTTCGCAAGTTCGTGCCTGCCACGACCGACATAGCGTGCCAGAACGCCGCCCCGACAGCACGACCTATCGCAGAACCGACACTGAACCCATCATGATTTTGGCACATCGTGTTCGGCTTGATGCATTTAGACGCCACGTGGATTTTTTAATCCGTTGGACCAACCGCACAAGTGAAGACGACACTCGCGTGCCATCCGCCTCGCTTGACGCATCCCCGATCATTGGTGTTTATCTCGCCCGCAAGCGAGCTATGGATATTGACCACCTTTCTTGAAGGGGGGGGTAGTGTAAGGAATTTTCCCGATTTTCGGGCTTGACTGCTACGCGTACAACCTCGATTTTCGAACTTGCACGTTCGGCCGACATCCAGAATGCCGAGGCTCCTTGCGTCGCCTTCGGCTTTCTGATCGCCAAACCTGCACCCAACCTCATTCCCCGGAGTTCCTTCCTAGCTAGGGTAGTCACTATGTAGTCGCGTGCCTTCATTGCATTGTCAGTTCATTGAGTCGCATCTTATTCGTCGCATACTCTCTTTTACAACTCATAACAATGGTAGTTAAGTCCGCGAAGTGAAATCCTGAACTGCCGAAAGCTTATTCAACATCGAGTTCGAGTTCCAAATTTCTCGGTCACGACGCACAGGTTCGTCGAGGTAGTGAAATCTCGACACTCTTTACGGGGCACAGTGTCGAAGTTCGGAAACCAGAACTTAGGAGTACAGTGCATTTTTGTGCAGTAACATCCTGTTACTAAATTAGGCAAGATGCAAACCGATTTGAAACATTCGCCAGTGACGAATTAGGCAAGATCCGTAAGTTGGAACATTCGCAACATATGGGAGATGTCTATAAGCGCCAGTGACGTCACGACTAAACATGAGCATAGTGATCCTCAGCTGTGTTGTTCATGGACTTGAGTATATCGAAATGACATTTGCCTTGTTATCCATTCGGACGCTTAGGCTACAAGAGAGTATGAGAAATGCTACGGGGTCGGTTTATCGGATACAACGATCATGTCAAGAGTGACGAACGTCGACAGCGGTGTGACAGCCTAGTTTTTTTATTGTGGGGACGTAGGAAGGCCGTAGAGTCTCGGAAACGGCGGCTGGTCAGGTTATCCCTTGCGTTGGTTACGCCGGTCATGCCAAGGGTGATGAACAACACCTAGCAATAACACTCCATGCGGAGCTGCGGGAGTAATTATGTCGCCTCCACCTTCTCTCGTGATTTCCAACGATAGGAGCCCCGCCCGCACCGCATGCCGATGCGGTGTGGTCGAGATTCGACACTGGCACCACCACCATGCCATGTCATTATGTCATGCCGATGCGACGACTGAAAGGCGAACAGCGCAACTGGTGCTACTTATTGGTAACCCATTCGGGGGAAAGGCTCGACATGCATGGGCGTGCGAGGCGAACGGATGACAGGTGGGGTGGGAAAGCGCGCGGTGCGATTGATTGATGGGTGATAGGTGTTGGAGTGGTTCCGCGAACCACACTAACGACGGCTGAAGGAAGACTAAACGACGACGGGAAAACCGGACCGACGGCGGCATTAAGGCGGTGGCGTGTGGAAAACGTTATGCGAAGGAGCTAAGAAGATTATAAGGAGCTTGGCATGTGTGCTATGTTATACGGAAAGGAGAATAATAGGAGGAAGAAACGGGAGTGAAGGAGAAGTGACGGAGGAGAAATGACAAGAAGAGGATTGACGGGAGGAAAAAGTTGGGTTTGTACATGGCGTGTTCAACAAGTTTCTAAAATTCGGACTTGGGGGTCGTTCGACGAAGATGAGGTGGTTGCGTGTGCAACGCGGCATGAAACATTGGCTAGGGGTTGCTTGTGTGACACGCTTGATTACCAATGTTTGGGTGTGCTTTGGGTAGAGTATATAGTTGTTTGAAATCCCTCGGTTGGAATTTGTGTTCAACTCTGATTGGTGGAGATTTTTCTAGCACAAAGTTGAGATTCGCGTCATACTTCCGTGAAGCCTCCGTGAAGGCTGAGTCAAGCCAGAGAAGCAAAATTTGTTCGTGAAACTTCCGTCAAAGGCCCGTCAAGGCCCAGCAAAGAGCCGAAGCTGCAGAATTCGGGTGTAGGGCCCGTTAAGGCCCCTGTGAAGGTTCCGTGAAAGCCCTGCGAAGGGCACGTGAAGCAGAAAACGAGCCAACGGCCCGTCAGGGTCACGTAAAGGCCTCGCGAAGGCCTCGTCAAGGTCGCGTCAGCCTTGGGAGTGGCGTTTCGAGACCAACAATAGGTGGCACAGCGCCTCTTGCATGAATGACTCATGGCACCGCCGATCAAAACATGCCTCCCCTGTCCTCCCTTCTGTCCTCCCTCCCTCCTCATCTGCTGCCTTCTCCCTATTCCTCCTTCGCTTGCCCTCAGAAATAGATTCAGCTTCCGCCTATTTCCGCCTATTTCCTCCTATAGAAAGCTCGTGAGCATACGTCCTCTCCGTTCCCTCTTGCGGCGTTGATCTTCCTCACCACCTTTCTCTCCCCTGGCTGCGGAGCTTTCTCAATCGGTCTGCTGCGGAGCGCCTGGCTCTAAGCGCCTGGCTCTAAGCGCCTGGCTCAAACGGGCACCTCGTTTCTCTTCGGCCATCTGCATCACCTGCCACCTCCACACACCAAACCAGGTACGCACGTGCCATGTTCTGCCGCCCCACCACTGCCTCTCTTCCCTCTGTGTTCTCTGCCTCACGTTTTCTTATGTGTTGTGCCCCTCCTGTTCCACTTCAGCCTTGCAATTGCTCCTCACGTTTGCCCTCCATTTGTATCATCCCGCTCCTCAGCTTGCTTCTTACCATTTTCCACTCTTCCCATGGCTCCTAGCCTGCTGTTGCTACTTCGTCACCACCTTTGCACCTCTTTCTTGGCCAGCCATTTGTTTCGTTGTCGTGAGGATTATTTTAGTGTGAGCCTTATTGCCATGCATTCCTCTTTCCTGTTGTAAATTCCACCCTCCCATCTTCCCCCTCCTATCTTCTCATCCCCGTGCCTTGTGCCTTAATTCACTCACACATGTCCTCACCCACACAAGGTAGCACGCCTCCTCAGCTGCCCCTTCCCTGCTGCCACCATACCGTGCCTTCCACTTCAGTCACGCCCGCCAGTCAGCTCTTTGCTCTGCTATCGTCCCGTGAGGTGAGCAGAGCATCCCCTGTCGTTCGTTCAGAATATCCAGCCATTCCTCCCCCTCATCCTTCCCCACCGCACGGCTGCTTCTTTACCGCACAACAGGCCTCTATCCACTTCTCCATTTGTCACATATGCGGCATAGGATCATCTCTTCCTGTACTCATCCTATCCGTTCCTCCTGCCACTAGTTTAGGTTTCTGATTTGCTTGCTGCAATCCACGTCATCCACCCCTTCCATCTTATGTTGAGTGATCAATATCTCTGCCTGTCCTCATGGATTCTTCTCTTTTCATTCTCTTGCCCTTCAGCATGTCTTGCCATTCCCTCTGCGTCCTTTCATTGCTGCTGCTTCCATCCCCAGCTTGCATATCGTCTGATTTGCCAGACCATCCCTCGCAATCCACTCCATCCATTTCTTCGTTCGCCAGTTACTCACCTCACGAGGTCGGTCTCAACTCAACCCTCACAAATTCTCTCCGCTCTTTTCTGCCCTTCAGCATGTCTCTCCTTTCCATCTGCATACTTCCCTTGCTGCTGCTTCCCTCTCTGCGTGCATGTTTTCATCCACCACTCTCCACACTTAAATTGCAACTTCTTCATCCTCATCCACCACCCAGCTGCTCTCTCGCCCACTTTGGTTGTGCCCTCCCTGCCCTTCGTCTGTCCAGTCCGCCCTTCGTTCATTCGTGCTTGCTCGCTCTTTCGTGCGTGCTCGCTCGTTCGTTCTCGCTCGCTCGTTTGTGCGCGCTCGCTTGTTCGTGCTCGCTCGTTCGTTCGCGCTCGCTCGCTCGCCTGTGCTCGCTCGCTCGGTCGTTCTCGCTCGCTCGCTTGTTGTCGCTCGTTCGTGCTTTCTCGCTCGCTCGTTCGTGCTCGCTCGCTCGTTTGAGGCCACTCTTCCACAGCCTGGCTCACCCCTGCTTCCCCATCTGTTTCTGTCCGGAGGGGAAGGAGGAGTGGGACATATTTCAGTGCCCTTGTCTCCTACCTCTCCACCCCCCTTCCCCCTTAAAATGACTAATTCCCCTTAAAATGACTCTTCATTTGGTCGCCCTCTGAATTGTTTCACTCCTGCTACTTCCATTTGGCTCCATATGTGATCTCATTTCTCTGCTATCGTGCCTTCAGTGCATGGCTGACTTCCTTCCCCCACTGCTGCCGCTTGTCTCCCCATTCCCTCTTTTGCTGCTGCTCCACTTCCCCCTCGCCCTGCTGCTCCCACTTCCCCTCCTGTTCTTTCCCCCTCCCTCCCCGGCTGCTGCTTCGTCCCCCTTCCTCTGCTGCTGCTTATCCCCTTCTTCCCACTGCTGCTCCTGCTCCTCTCTTGCTGGCCGCTCCCCTCTGCTCCCATCACATCTCACTATGTAATCGCCCATGGTGCCCACTTGCTCTTCGCTGCACGTTACATCTGGTTGCTCCTCCTCCACCTCCCCGCTCACTCTTAATTCCCCTCCATTACCTTTGGACTTCTTCCTGTGCCCCTGACTCTCAACCCTCCACCTTCGCCTTTGGACATCTGACTGTCACTTCAATCTCCACCATATTGCTGCTTCTGGGATACACAGAGTGGGAGATCCTACTTCATCTGCCATTGCGAGAATGGCCGAAACAGATGAGTGGAAAGAGGCGATGGAGATGAGAATGAGGGCGCTTGACGTGCAGCTGGAAGAAACAAGGAGGGAATTGGCAGCAGTGAAGGGGGGTTTGGAAGAGGCTGAGAGGAAATGAGTGGTGGAGATGAGGGAGATTAGAGGGCAGATGGAGGAGAGGGAGAGGGAGCTGGGTGCAGAATTGGCTGCAGTGAAGGGAGAGTTGGCAAAAGAGGAAAGGAGGAGGGAGGTGCAGGAGGTTGAGAGGAGAAGCACAGCAGACTTGACGGAGATGAGAGGGCAGATGGAGGAGAGGGAGAGAGAGCTGGCTGCAGTGTAGGGGGAGCTGAATGCGGTTAAGGGGGAGGTGGCTGAGCAGAAGGACGTTGTAATGTCGTTGCGAGTTGATCTGGAAATCAGCCAAAGTGAAGGCGATACAAAAGTAGCATGGGAGGTGAGTGCTGAATGAACATTTTTACATCGCATTTGTTGTTTCACAGGGCACGAATAGCTTCACAATGCATGCATCGTTACATAGGGCGGAAATTGCTTATACTTTCCTGTCACCTTTATCATCTCTCCCCTTGTCATGATTTCCCTCCATCCAATTCCTCCAGGCAATCAAGTTAGCATCACAAGGAACCGCTCTGAATCTGGCCGAACTAGATGGCATCTCAGACGCCATGCTCGCCCATGTGTCCACCATGACACATCTGAAGACCATTCTCTTGTACTCTAGCTCAGGCTTCAGTGCAGAGGGCATCAAGCACCTCTTCAGGCTGCCACGGCTGGAGAGGTTAAGCCTTGACAACACAGACGTGTCAGACAGTGCCTTGGAAGGGATCGGGTCCTTGGTTACTCTCACGTTCCTCGCTCTCACGGGGACCAACGTGACCGATGCGGGTCTGGCGCACTTAACAGCTCTCTCCTCTCTCAAAGAGCTCTGGCTTTCTAGTTGTAAGGGCGTGACAGATGCTGGCATGGTTCATGTGGGGAAGCTGACAGGCCTTGAGAGAATGGAGATGGATGATACGGCAGTCACGGATGATGGGCTGCAGCAGCTGAATGCCCTTACCAAGCTGGCATTTCTCGTGCCACCAGAAGAGGGTTCACTAAGGAAGGATGAGATTCGCAGGCGGATAGGCAGGGAAGACTGAGGAGTGAGTCACGGAGTGGTGGCTGTGCATGGTTGTATGGTGGTTATGGAATGGAGTCTAAACTAAAGTTAGAGGATCGTATAACTGAAGCCTTGCAGATGGACAGACGTAGGTGCAGGAGGATTGTTTGGACAAGAAAGCATGTGCATGAGAGAACAAGCATAGTGAGAATGGGCACATGTGAGAACAAGTGTACATTAAGGAGAGTTGTTTGGCCAGAGTGTGGAGGATTGAGTTGGTGGCTCGGCAATGCCGAGGGTACAGGACACAACAACGTGTGTATTTGTGCCTTGCCCGCCACACCAGGTATACCGGTACATAGGACTGTCAAACAGTCGCAATGAGGCAATGATTCATGCCTGGCTTGCAGGTTGAAAGCTCAAGTTCGAAATGTTGTTGTCATTAAGTGCATGGATCATGAAATTGGCATACCGTAGTGTTGGCTAGGCTGGGTAGCAGGGAATAATGCATAATACGGAGAGCAGAGGTCAAGCACAAGCAGGTTTGTGACTGCACGAGAAAGGGAAGTGTTCGCGCAGCTTCGTCGCCCACCCATATTCCCATCTAATGCCATGCGGTAGGCAAGTGGGAAATGTAATTTCCCAAAGTGAATCGGTCCCTCCCTATGGTACGCGTTCACATTGCACAACAACCACCTCCTTACTTACTGAAGCCCCACAATCCACCCACTCCATGCAACCCCCATGGCCGGTTACTAGTGACTCAGCTTCTGCTGCTGTGTGGCATCCAACCCAATCCCTTTGTACTCGTGAGGGTTATGCTTTGAGTGAGTGTTGGGCAGGCATGAGTGCACAAGAGGGAAAGGAATAAGGAAAGCGAAAGTGAGACAGAAATGACAGTGGAGAGGGATGTGTAGTAGTGTGGGATGAGATATTGGATGGGGGATCGGATGGGGGATCGGAGGGGGAATTGGATGAGATGTGAGATGAGGTGAGGGGTGAAGTATGGAGTGGTGGTGTATTTAGCACCGTTGACTTGCACATTCAAAAAGTGATATCAGAAATACACATATGTCCGTGTATGCTTGCTTACTCTCTGATTCTAGTTGCCTGGAATAATACCTACCGCACCCAGAGCTCCACTCGCGTCTGATGCAAAATGTTCAGCCGCACTGTCCTCGCTCGCACTCTCCCTGCAAAAGAGGCACATGCGATTCGATGCAGGCTGCAGAGTTCCAGCGTAGGTGGAGCCGCAGAGGCCATGGGCTAACACCTTCTTGGATTGCGTGCAATGCAATGAGGCACGTGCGATTCGATGCGGGTTGAAGTGTTCCAGCATAGGCGGAGGTCCATCGAGCCTTATTCTAAGGGCGAACAACTGCTTGGATTGCCTCCATATGCAATGAGCCACGTGCGAGTTGATGCGGTTGTTGGGATGGTGGGAGAAGGGAGGTAGAAGGAGAGGGAGATTGGGGGGGGGGGGGGGGGGGGGGGGAGGGAGGAAGGTAGTGGGGCGGAGGAGGGAGGAAGATGAGGAATATGGTGAAGTGGGTGAGGAATGGGTAACTTGGCTCGCCAACGCTGCGGCTCAACACCACCCCCTCAATCCCACCACCCATCAACCCCCTTTGGTGCAGCAATGGAGAGCAGCAGCGTGACCTCCTTGACACTCGTGGCGAGGCACAGGGGCACTAGCTCTCCATTTTGGTCCGGTCGGAGCTGATTCAGGTGCATGTGATGAGAGCGGATGGGCAGGGAAAGGGGCGGGAACGAGGAGGGGAGGAGGAGGGTAAGGGGATGGGAAAGGGGGGAAAAGGGGAGGGGAAATGGGGGAGAAAGGGAAGGGAAGGGATGGGAAGTGGAGGGGAAGTGGAGAAAAAAGCGAGGTGAGGGCGGGGGGAAGGGGAGGGAAAGGAGAGGGGAATGGGGAGTGGAACGGGAGGGGAAGGGGAGTGGAATGGTTGGGGAAGGGGAGGCCAAGGAATTAGGAAGTAGAGGGAAAGGAGAGAGGATGGGGAGGGAACGGGAACGGAGGAATGAGAAAAACGGGGTTGTTGGCTGGTGTATAAAATGAAAGGAAGGTACATCCCACTCAGCCATGCACTGGTGCCATCTGCCCACCCCAATTGTCATGCAAAACCTTGCAGCGCAATCCAAGAACACGAATTACACACCATGCACGCACCATGCACGCACCATGCACGCACCATGCACGCACCATGCATCCACACACCATGCACACACCATGCACGCACATTCCATGCACATACCCATGCGCAGATAGCACATAACCATCCACCCACCCACCCTCTTCACCATGCTCATCCGCGCACATAGTACCCAGCCATCCACCCATCCACCCACCCCGTTCACCATGCATGGGAATGCGGGATGCGTCTCTTGCTGCTGCTGCTGCCTCCTTGGCTCGCCTCATCTGCTCTTCCTGCCTCGGCGTCTCCGACAGCTGTGCCAAGTGCCTATGACCATGCTGTCGGTGCCCACACACATGAGCTGTCAAGTGAAGGGGCAGTTCCGGGTGGGGAAGGGGACGGGAAAACACATGAGGGAGGTTGCTTGCGGCTACTCTTCCTGCCTCAGTGGCTCTGGGAGGTCGTCCACCAACACACTATCAGTGCCAGAGGAGGGCAGGAGCTGCTTGAGAAGTGTCCAGGGGTCTACATGCGGGTGGAAGGGAGGGCGGAGAAGAAGGATGCCGGACCGGCCCAGGCCCAGCCCAGGTCGGGCCGTGCCGGGCTGCCCAAAATAGCGGGCCAGGCCCAGCCCGGCCCGCCCCGGGCCGAGCCTGGCCCGCCCCGAGCGGAATGAGCTAGACTTCGGGCCAGAGTTCGCCTAGGGGGTACCCGGGCCGAAAAGGGCCCGGGCGGGCTGAGTATGGCGGCCCGGCCCGGGTGCAATTCCGTTATAGATACATCGTTTTTTGGGCCTGTTTTAGAGAGGCAAAGAAGTCTAGGGCCCGACCCGGGCTGGGCCGGCCCGCCCCTAAAAGGGCGAGCCAAAAGCAGGTCGACGACGGCCCGGCGGGCCAGGACTGCCCGGCCCGCCCCGGTCTGACAGCCCAATTTAAAGGTACGGCCCGGGCCAGTTTCGGGCCGGCCCGACCTGGGCCGGGCGTGCCCAACCCTAGCTGGGTGTGAGAGGGAGGACGAGAGGGAAGAGGGGGGGGAGGGGAAGACGTAAGACAGCAAGGACATCAATAGAGGCAGGCATGGGGCCACAAACATGGTGTAGAAGGGATACGGTATGGAAAGGGAAATGCGGAGGGAGGTTGGAAAAGGGAAGAAAGAGGAGGGTGGGATAGGGAGGAGGAGAGAGGAATGGAAAAGGGAAGAAAAGGAGGGGGTGGAGGTTATGCGACAACTGTTATGACAACCCAGGAGGGTGGTCAGCTCCTTCTCCCGTTCCCCACTCACCATGTTCGTACCGTCACCACTGTTTCAGCTGCAAGTGCTAGGGAGGAATGTGCAAGTTCCCATGCACCCATGCTCTAATGCTCCGTGCTCCTGTGCTCCCATGCTCCCACGCTCCTGCTATCAAAATTCGATGAGGGGAAGCAAGGAAAGGGGGCATTTGGGGGTTGATGCAAGGGGGGAAGGGTTGTAGCTTAGCTTGAGCCGGCACCAATTTCATGCTAGTACAGGCCCCCATGAGACCAGCTTAGGGTTTGAGGGATCATTGAGACCGGAGAACAGGCCTCACGTGCTGGGAAAGGCAGCCACCCAAGGTGCGTCCTCAGGTGGGTGTGGCAGGACGCGGAAGGCAAAGGCAGAGGAGGTGGCGGGAAGAAGGGGTCGAGGAGCAGCAATGGAGGTGGCGTGGGAGCGAGGAGCGATGGTGCCAGGGAGACCTGCGGAGGGGTCTTTCAGCTCAACTGCCGCTCACACTGCTGCTGTTGCTTGCTACTTCTGTTCCCTACCAGCCCCGTGTCCATCCTTACAGTCACTTGTTTTCTCATGCCACTCATGCCACGGTGCCACCACTGCTGCAGCAGGAGCAGTAGCCGTGACGTTCTCAGGTGGGGAAGGTGGGTGAAAGTCATGCAGCAGCCTCTGCAGAAGCAGCAGCAGGAGGATTAGGAGCACACGCCTCCTTGATTCGTATCTGCCCTGCCTGCCCCCGTTACTGCCCCACCTGCTGCAGCATGCACCTTCGTCGGGCTCTCATCAGCTCCGGTCGCACCGATTGCGCCTCTCCCTGCTGCACTCCAGCTCTGCAACCAGCCGAAGCCGCTGCTGCAAGGTGCTGCAGAGAGGTATTCTTATGGACCCATGGGACGGGCGTGGTGATTGTCGGGAGGGCGATTGTGGGGACCGGGTGTCGCTGCTGCTGATGCTGCTCCCTTGAGGTGCCCTTGCGACCCTTCCAAGCTCTCCCATCCCTCGTTCATCCTTTGTGGTTCCTCCCCCCCACACACCTGCCATGGCGCAGCAGAACAGGGCACATTGACGAACACCTGCACGTCGGCACGGAGGGGAAGTGTAACAGGACATAGGTTGGAGAGGCAAGCCGTCACATACTCAATTGCACACACACAGGGTGCAAGCGGTCACATGGTCAATCAGTGCAAAACACCCGATAATGATCGCATCAACATCGGCCGACAAGGAGACTCGTTCCGATTCGATTACACTCGCTCAACTAGACTCACGCTCGTTGTCGCCGAACAACTAAAGGGCGATATCAGTCGTATCGGCCTAGATAGCACGTCTTCCTTCGTCTGCCATTTCAGAAAGCTACTGGAAAGCTCCGACTTCCCTCTTTCTCTTGCGTTCCTATCGCCTCTCTTGCACCCCCTCCCAGATCCCCCCACTCCCCCCCAGTCCCCCCAGGCAGGCGAAGCTGCACGTCCTGCTGGGTGCAGCATGGTCAGCCTCTCCCTCATCGCCCTGCGCCCATCTGCATTCACCATCCAGCAGCACGGGATCGCTCACCTGCACCCTCATGAACGGCCAGAAACGGCAAGCCAGCAGCAGCGCATCTGCCTCTGCCACCTAACTCCCCACACCCTCCTACTTACAATCTACTTCCACCGAGCGGAAAACAAGAACCCTTCCGCCTTCTTCCAGCTCCCTCCTCTCCTCCACTTCCCACTCCCCCCATCCTCGTCCCCCTCCGTTCATATCCAACTCGACCTCCCTAATCCCTCTCGTCCCTCTCCTCTCGTCCTCTCCCCCATCCCACCCCCACCCCCCCCTCCCCGCCTCTCCTCTCACCCACTCCTCTCCCCCTCTCCTTTCGCCACCTCCTCGTTCCCCCTCCTCCTCTCTCCCCTCCTTTCCCCCTCACCTCCCTCTCCCACGCCCCTCTCCCACATCCTCCCGTGCTCGACACCCCCTTCTCATGAAAACAACACAACACTCCACACGTCTGCATACCCCTCAGCACCCACTGCCACTTGCCACACCACGCCAAACGAAAGGTCCTGAAGGGATGGAATGAAGGCACCAACAAAGCAAGGATTGGCAGGAGAGGCACATAATGGACCGAAGGTGGTGAGGAAGGTGACTTTTGAGGCGCCTCATAAGGGAAGGGTGGTGAGAAAGGTGCACGGAAGGGAGAGGCGGAACTTGGAAGGGTCAGCGGAAACAGGAAAGAGTGCTGCGGTAGACAGGGGGATGAATCAGACACAGATGGAGTGAAACAGAGGAGGGTGTGCGGAGGCGAGAGGAAGAGGGGGGGGGGAAGGGATCGGAGAAAAGGCTTTCATAGATGAATGCATAGTACAACCAAGGAGCATTGCAAACGATCCGTATGCATGACGACCCAAATCAGAAAAACGGGAAGGGGTGTGAGAAAGAAAGGAAGCTTCTTCCAGCCATGCAGCACCCAACCCAACCATGCAGCATCCAACCCAACCATGCAGCACCCAGACATAGATCACTCTCAGCAGGGCGCACCTGCTCGGCTACTTGCTGGTCGCGAAGGCCAGGGCCGTCTGGTTGGCAGGGACCCACTGCATGCACGTGCAGCGCCCAGTCCTCCAGCGTGTCGTTGTGGCCTGTGAGAGGATGACAGGTAGCATGAGTGTGGGGAGAGAGTGGGGAGACATGAGATGGGGGGTGGATTGATGAGGGGAAGGGGAGGGGGAGGGGGGGAGGGGGGGGGAGGGGAGGGAAGGGGAAAGGGGGAGACGGGGAGGGGAGGAGGAGAGTAGGAAATTTTATAAAATTCCAAATGTATCGGAAGGGGTATACAGTGGATGGATATTTTTACTCCCCACAACAAGCATAGACGGAGAAGACAATTCTCTCACCAGCACCGTCAAATGACGGTACCGCTTGCCATTTGCCTCGTGCAGTTCGCCATTCAATTCGCTGCTCGTGCAGCGAATTGTGGCATGTTGCGTACTGCCCTATCCTTGCACAGTTTCAGGTCATCCAACGCACAAACAAGCGTCACGTGCTGCGTAGTTGTGCGAATCAACTCAAACCAGTTCCTATGACAAGGTAATTGATTGAATTACCTAAATGTGTGAAGAACGGGTGCTAAAAAAGACATCCATACGATGAAACGGTGACATGTTGCGTACTGCTCTATCCTTGCACGGTTTCAGGTCATCAAACGCACAAACAAGCGTCACGTGCTGCGTAGTTGTGTGAACGAGGTCAAACCAGTTCCTATGGCTAGGAAATAGGATGTACTAGGGAAATTTGCGAAGAAATAGAGGTAAAAACAACACCTAGACGTTGAAACACTGACATGTTGCGCACAGGCCTATCCTTGCACGGTTTCAGGCCAGCAAATGCACAAACAAGCGCCACGTGCTGCGTATTTGTGCGAACGAGGTCAAACCAGTTCATATGGCTAGGAAACAGGATGTACTAGGGAACTGTGTGAAGAAATAGAGGTAAACATAACAACCAGACGTTGAAACAGTAGCATGTTGCGCACAGGCCCATCCTTGCACAGATTCAGGCCAGCAAACGCACGAACATGCGCCACGTGCTGCGTAGTTGTGCGAACGAGCCCCAATCAAGTCCTATGGCAAGGGATTAGGATGTACTAGGGAACAGTGTGAAGAAATAGTGGTAAAAAAAACATTTAGACGTTGGCGCAGTGACATGTTGCGCAGGCGCCTATCCTTGCACAGATTCAGGCCAGCAAACGCACAAACATGCGCCACGTGCTGCATAGTTGTGCGAACGAGGTCAAACCAGTTCATATGGCTATGGAATAGGATTTAGTAGGGAAGAGAGTGAAGAAATAGTGCTAAAAAAGGCATCCAGATGTTGGCGAGCTGACACGTTGCGCACAGGCCTATCCTTGCACAGATTCAAGCCAGCAAACGCACAAACATGCGCTACGTGCTGCGTAGTTGTGCGAACGAGGTCAAACCATTTCATATGGCTATGGAATAGGATTTAGTAGGGAAGAGAGTGAAGAAATAGTGCTAAAAAAGGCATCCAGATGTTGGCGAGCTGACACGTTGCGCACAGGCCTATCCTTGCACAGATTCAAGCCAGCAAACGCACAAACATGCGCTACGTGCTGCGTAGTTGTGCGAACGAGGTCAAACCAGTTTCTATGGCTAGAAAATAGGATTTAGTAGAGAAATCTGTGAATAAATAGTGCTAAAAAAGGCATCCAGACGTTGGCGAGCTGACATGTTGCGCAGGCGCCTATCCTTGCACAGATTCAGGCCAGCAAACGCACAAACATGCGCCACGTGCTGCGTAGTTGTGCGAACGAGGTCAAACCAGTTCCTATGGCTAGAGAACAGGATGTAGTAGGGAAGAGTGCGGAGAAATAGTGCTAAAAAAGACATCCAGACATTGGCGAGCTGACATGTTGCGCACAGGCCTATCCTTGCACAGATTCAAGCCAGCAAACGCACAAACATGTGCTACGTGCTGTGTAGTTGTGCGAACGAGGTCAAACCAGTTCCTATGGCTAGAAAATAGGATGTAGTAGAGAAATGTGTGAAGAAATAGTGCTAAAAAAGGCATCCAGGTGTTGGCGAGCTGACATGTTGCGCAGGCGCCTATCTTTGCACAGATTCAGGCCAGCAAACGCACAAACATGCGCCACGTGCTGTGTAGTTGTGCGAACAAGGTCAAACAAGTTCCTATGGCTAGGGAATAGAATTTAGTAGGGAACTGTGTGAAGAAATAGTGCTAAAAATTGCATCCTGACGTTCGCGAGCTGACATGTTGCGCACAGGCCTATCCTTGCACATATTCAGGTCCGCAAACGCACAAACAAACGTCACGTGTTGCGTAGTTGTGCGAATTAACTCAAACCAGTTCCTATGGCAAGGTAATTGATTGAAATACCTGAATGTGTGAAGAAATGGTGCTAAAACAGACAGCCACACGATGAAACAGTGACATGTTGCGTACTAGCCTACCCTTGCACAGTTTCAGGCCATCGAACGCACAAACGAGCGTCACGTGCTGCGTAGGTGTGCGAATGATGTCGAACCAGTTCCTGTGGCAAGGTAATTGATTGAAATAGCTGAGTGTGTGAAGAAATGGTGTTAAAAATGTTATGTGATGCTATCATTTGCATTCACGTCTGTCTGCCTCCCATCATATGTTCGTGCGTTGCATGCGTGGTGTGAGCGTGTGCAAGAATTTGTATTTGGTGTGGTTTGGATTTTCTGAGTGTGTGTGAATGTTATTTGGCTTGAGCAGATATCTGAAGTGACTCCTCTGCTCGAGAGCATTCCGACGAACCAAGGATCGCTTCAATCGGAGCACGAACACGAAAGTTACGAACATTTGATGTTCGTATGCTTTTGATATTTGGTTGTGGTGACTATGGGAAGTTGTGGGGTTGACTCCATAAGGGGTATAGACATTTGGGGGTTGGGAAATTCGTCACTTCTACTGTAGTTGCTGCCATGTGGTTGGGAAAACCCAAACCAGGTTGGCAAGTGTGGCCAAGTTGGGGTGAGGTGGATTGTGGAGGTTGGGAAAGTGACAAAGGTCAAAGTTGGGGTGCCTATAGGGAAGGGATTTGGTGTGACTATGGGGTTTCCTTGGTTGGTGACTCATTGGGGACCTTCCCTCTCGTCCTCCTCTACCCTCCTACCTGGTTTATTGCTACTCCAACTTTCTTGTGTGAACTTGTTAGTAAATTGTGATTGAGTTAAGTTTCTATGGCAGCATACCCCCTAGTGCGCTGAAATTCATAACTCGAGGTATACTCCATATTTTGATACGATTCAAATTGGGAAAGATAGCCACGGTCAAGGGCTATAATATAGTCGAGTTTGAGAGAATTCTAACAGTGCGTTTTTCGTCGACGGCGTTTCTTGTAAGCGCGACGATTCTGTCCAGAATTGTAGTTGACGATTTTGAGATATTTCGGCCCCTAAACGTCATAGACTTCGTCCTTAGTCTCTAACAAGTGGTATCAGAGCTGATTAAGGACTTTGTGGAGAGTCTACTGAAGTGTGAAGACCCTCCTAGACCCACTATGGCCTGTGGGCGTGCCTAAGTGGAGTTCTGGAGGTTGGATGCGACTTCCGCTAAGGGGAAACTCTGCCAAAATTTCGTTGGCGCCGACACTTGTGAAAATATTGTGGATCTTTGGTGTGGACAGCAAAGGGGGGAGCTGAAACCTGTGATTGGGAGCAGAGGAAATGAGTCAAGGGAGTGGAGATGCATCTGAGAAGAGGAATGAACCGCCACCATCCAAGATCGAGGCATTGGATGGCTCCAACTATGAGGAATGGAGCGGGCGGATGCGGAGTGTGTTTAAGCGCTACAAGCTGCTGAAACTTGCGATGGGAGAAGAGAAAATGCCGGAGGAAGGCGACGCCCGCGGTCGTTGGATTGAGAAGAGCGCGGTGCTGTACGACCTCATCCTCCAGTCGGTCAACAACGACATGTTCCAGCACATCAAAGATTTGGTGGAGCTCGATGTCTCGGGATCGAAGGCGTGGAAGCTACTTCGGGATGTGATTCAGCCCAACACGCTGCCAATGGTGATTGTGTTGGAGAAGGAGCTGGCTGCCCTCTCCATGCGACCGGGTGATGATGTGAAGCCGGTCCTTGACAAGATCAAGGACACCTATGCGAGGATGGCAGCGGCGGGCAGCAATGTGTCGCAGATGCAGCAGTGCACCAAGATCATCTCGGTGCTCGACAACTCATGGGACAACCTGATCCCCACCCTCAACTCTCAGCAGGACCAGTGGACACCTGAGTGGCTACGGCAGCAGATTCTGCAGGAGGACTTCCGCAGGCGCCACACCGGAGGTGGTGCTGCCAACAAAACTGCTGAGGGGTATGGAGCTGCAGGAGGCAGCAGAGGAAGAGGGGGTGGGAGAGGCCGAGGCCGTGGGAGGAGCTTTGGCAGAGGGAGAGGCCGAGGTGACTACAACGAGGGGCATGGGAGCTCTGGTGGCAGGGGGAGCACTCGAATGGAGGGTGCCTGCTGGTACTGCAAGAAGGCTGGACATCCGTGGTTCAAGTGTTTC